TTATGAAAAGAAAATTTGAAAGCTATCTCAACTATAGGCCTAATTTTTTTTTATCGATATAAAGCACTGTAAGGTATTCATAAATATGATCTTTACTCAGATGATATTCATTTTTGACCCAATTAAATAGAAAAAAAAAAAGACTATGTTCCTTTTGGAAAATGAAAATACATACATAGATAAAACTTGAGGACATGGGTTTATTAGAACAATTTTACAATAGAGCTCTGATAATGGGACACTATCCTACAATATGGACTAAATCGATCATACATCCAATCTTTAAAAGCGGTGACAAAGACAACCCTTCAAATTACCGTGGTATAGCACTGATAAGTAATTTTTCGAAACTTTTTACAACAATACTAAGATCAAGACTGAATGAATGGGTAGAAAGAAGAAACGTCATTCCAGAAAATCAGGCGGGTTTCCGAAGGGGCCGATCGTGTGTGGACCTGATATTCACATTGACCTCTCTAATACAACTTTCACTGAGGAAAAAGAGAGGAAAATTATATGTATTTTTTGTTGATTTGAGAAAAGCATTTGACACAGTTCCTCACTCATTACTCTGGAAGAAATTAATCAATCTGGGCGTGAGCTATCAATTTATACATGCAATTAGAAATTACTACGAACAGGCGACTGTGGCAGTCAGATGGAGGGGTTCAATTACAGAAAATATTAAGATACAGTCGGGCGTTTTACAAGGAGAGCCACTATCGCCATTACTTTTTATATTATTCATGACGGACCTGATTAAAATGTATGACAACTCAGATCTGACGAGTGTATACCTTCCGGAATTTGGTGATGTTCACCTGCTGATGTATGCAGATGATATTGCTATTATAGGGGAGTCGAGGGTAAACCTCCAAAAAAAGATTAATATATTGAAGGAATATCTTGGTGTGAACGAAATGACACTGAACGAGTCCAAATCGAAGGTTATGGTATTTCGCAATGGTGGTAAACCCTCAAGAGAAGATAGATGGTACTGGAATGGTAAACCTCTGATGGTAACAAGAAGATATATCTACTTGGGATACCCTCTGGTCAGTACAACTAAAACCACTCAAGCCGCAAACTTTTTCAAAGGAAAAGCACTTGCGGCAATAAATGCTACAACCCCAATATTGGCGAAATCAAAAATTAATTCACTAAACTCTGCAATGAAACTGTTTGACTCAATTGTGATGGCTGTTTTGATGTATGCTGCTCCAATTTGGGCAACAGAGTATAAAGATTTATTAGACCATATACAAGATACATTTATTCGTAGGTTTTTGAATTTGCCTAGATATACACCAGGATACATAATAAGACCAGAAACAGGCCGCGTCTCATTAATAATAACAGCTCTGAAATTGACCTTGAAATATTGGCTGAGGGTGCTGAGTATGGATACAAATAGACTGCCTCGAATTTGTTTAACTAGAATGAGGCAATTATCCTGTGCTACAGGTGCGCCCATCGGTTTTATAAAACAATTAAGCAATTTACTTAATAATAACGGATCCTCGTGGCTTACTTATTGTAATGATCCTGACTCACTAAGGAATGCTATCCCTGGAATATTAAGAACTGCGATAGAGCAAACAATACAAAACGACCTAACAAGAATAACCCAATCAAAGTTATATTCCCACTATAGAGACATATATACAACCTTTACCACCGAAGAATACTTCTTAACTGAACTCCCTTTTCCTATCATCAGATTAATTGCACAATTTAGAACCCTTTCAATTTTTTTCAGAGAACACCATTTGATTTTATTGAAGCGTGAAGACCTGAAATGCACTTTCTGTGGATCAGGAATAACAACGGAGATGTTGCATTACTTATTTGACTGTGCTGCTCTGTCTGTGGAAAGACGAAAATTAAATGATAAAACGGGGCAACTTTGTCCTTCATTTCCGGCACTGATTAATGAAATATCAAAGAATAGGTATATAGCGATGGCGATATTTGGATTCCACAAGACTATATCCCGGAAAAAGGCCTCACAGTGTTCTCCCTATTCCTTGTGAACTGGCGAATCCTGTATAGGGCGAGTGGCCCCAATAAAGGCTTTTTGTTGTTGTTGTTGTTGATAAAACTTGAGGAAGTGGAAAGTCTTTTGTCGCCGTTTGTTTATTTATTTTTTTTTTTTTTGAAGGAGACAGAGTCAAATTTTTGTTCACACTTGGTTATCAATAAATATCGCTGTAATATCTTTCAGAGTTATTGTCTGAATTCCGATATACATGCTAAAAGGTACAGCTTCCTTAAGTTATGTCCATGAGTGTAGTTCACACTTGGTTATCTCGTGTGTCTTCAATAAAGGTCACTGAAATATCTTTCAGAGTTATTGTCTGAATCCCGATATACACGCTAAAAGGTACAACTTCCTTAAGTTATGTCTATGAGTGTGTCTTCAAAAAAGATCACTGTAATATCATTCAGAGTTATTGTCTGAATCCCGATATACATGCTAAAAGGTACAACTTCCTCAAGTTTTGTCCACGAGTGTAAATACTCATTGCATATGTTATAAATGTAAAATATATGTTTGTATCCATCAATAAAACGTTCTATAAATTGTTAAAAATTGAAGATCGCCTTCAATTATTGACTAATGAATTATCGATGATCATTGATAAATTGTTGGTTAAAATGATTGAAAACTGCGTTGGATCTTGATAGCGTGAACACTGGCTTTGGTGTGAAGTTAAAAGATGCAATATTTTCTGAAACTAGGACAGAATGGAATGCAATTTTATACATTTCTATGTATGCCAATTCTATAAAATGTTAGAAAAAAAAGTGTTGAAATAAGAAATCAGTTCTTTAGTGAGAGCATTGACGATATATATGGTTGTGAGGGCAGCTAAACCCACCATGAACCCCCAGTAATGGAAGCCACCTCCATGGCCCTGAGAAGGAAGTTTTTATGGGACCGTCGTTATTGGCATCGTGGTGATTACGGTACATTAGCCCCTTCTTGGATGTGGGGACTTGGCAATTGAAGATATCTTCACCTCTCCCTGTGTGGGTATACTTCAATCTTTCTCTTCCTTTAACTTCTTTCTCTTCAAATTTAGGAATTCTTTATGAAATTATCGCAATCTATAAGATTAAACATTCAAATTATGGATAAAATTATATCTGGGATCGAAAAATAAACTGTTTATTTGCATGATTTATTTCAACGATAAACTTTAGTCATTTTCAAAAGATTTTTAAAAAGAAGAACGTTTTGATCATCGAAATATCATTCTTGAAGATAGAGGTTGTCTGGCCTTCATTCATAGTTCTTTAAAATTTTTTTTTCTTCTTCATTTGCAGAGACTCCGGAGTAAATCCAGGTATAAGAAATATATTTTCCTCTAATTTGTCCAGACTAATCTATCTATTAGCTTGATTGTCTTAATTAAGTTTTCCTGTATATAAATTTCATATTACCATAAAAAATAATATAACATTACTTATTACTGATACTATTACTGTTATTCCTGTATGTATCCTAAATATCTCTGTGCTTGGGGAAGCTGTATAAGACTAAAAAGTAAAGCTTAACATAAAGATTTTTGTTGTTGTTGAAGTTCTTTAAAATAAAATACACTTCGGCCAGAAATTATTGTTATTTTCTCAACGTTTCGACAAAAATATGTTTGTCCTTCTCAGGAAAAATAAAAATTAAAGCATTTGACAAGGCGTTAAAAATTTATTTGAGGTTCAAGGGTGTTCTAACGACTTCCCAAATGCTTTACCTTTTATTTTTCCTGACGAATATAAAATATTTTGTCGAAACATCGAGAAAATAAAAACCATTCATTGCCAGAATTGTATTTTATTTCAAAAAAATATCATGCAAAAACGCAGTTTATTTTTCTATCCAATATTTACCGTTTTTTAATTTAAATATAGGAATGTGCTCTTTATATATTTTGTATTTTAAATAAATCGGTTTAAAATTCTAACAGAACCATTTATAAAGAATTTCTCTTTATTTTGGACACCATACAAGAAGCATATTATTGAAGTGTATTGTTCCACAACCCTCATTATTGGATAAATCTTGGAAGAAATAAAAAAATACAAAGAGATAATGATAATTATAAAATAAAGCGAAGAAGTTTCTAAAAGGTTAACTCTTTCAGATGTAAGGAAATGGGACAATTTAGCACAAAATACTCTTTTACCTTTACTTAATTTCGTTCTCTGCCTTTACTGGTCTCCCATAATTTTATCATTGCGTTAAGGATTGTAGAAAATTATTTTATTAAAAAAAATCATATGCGTCAAAATAGTTTATATTTCTTATATTAATATATATAGTCACGACCGTCTTTCCTCATCGGCCGGCCGCCTCTGTCACGGATGCGCGCGCACAGGGAGGTCACGTGCTCGCCGGCTCCCTCGAGCCGGATTTGAACCAGCGACCTAAGGATCACCGTTGTAATGCGTCAAAATAGTTTATATTTCTTATATATATTAATAACATAAAGTTTTTTTTTTTTTTTAGTGGGAGGATGCTATTTATGTACCTAAAGAGATATCTTTCTCTTTTATTATACATCAGAAAAGGATGCATTATGTTTATTACACTAGTAAAAGACTTTAATAGTGATAATAAAGAATGAGCTACAACACCAGTTTTGGTAAATTCAGACAAAAAGCCAACAACCAGTATACCATGGTTTCAGACTTTGTCCCTCATCAGTACAGGGGCGACTTCGATTTTATAACGTCCTACGAGAGATTTTATGAAATAAGTCGAATTTGACAAACAGATGTTTAACTAGGTGAAGTGGCAAGGGCTGATTTTCAAGCAAGAATACAACATAAAGTTACGGAAGGATGATATTGATGTACCCAAAGAGAGGCACCTCTCTTTTTTAATATAGATAAATAAATAAATATTATTTATTTCGACTTAGTTTACAGGTGTTACATTCGAGTCACCATGTTCTGGCTATTTACACATAGCAAGTTGGTGAAGGGCCCAAAAAAGATGCCCAAACCCGGGTTTGAACCAGGAATCTTTAGACCTTCAGTCTAACGCACACTGAGCTATTTCGTCTAAATAAATATATATAGAATTGACAATAGTAAGTTCCGCAACTCCCCATTCCCTGCTGTGTAACCATTACAGGTGCTACACTCGAGTCACCGTGTCCTGGCTATTTACACATAGCGAGTTGGTGGAGGGCAGAAAAAAGATTCCGAAATCCGGGTTTGAACCAGTGATCTTTAAATCTTCATTCTAACGCACTGAGCTATTTCGATTTAATAAATATATATAAAATTGAGAATAAAGAGTATTTTAGAAAGTTTCACAACAAATTCCCGCTGTGTAACCATTACAGGTGTTACATTACAGCTCACATTGTCCTGGCTATTTACACATCGCAAGTTGATGTAGAACTTGCAGGAAGGCAGAAAAAAAGATTCCGAAACCCGGGTTTGAACCAGGGATCTTTAGACCTTCAGTCTAACACACTAAACTATTTCGCGTTAATAAATATATAGCGCCCCCCCTCTAAATAGCGCCTCCCTCTCTATAGCGCCCGATTTTAAATACGTAGTACGATGCGATTTACATTAAAAGTGACCTGTCTATAGCACCACCTCTCTATAGCACCTTTTTTTGTTAAGTCTCAAGAGGAGGCGCTATAGACAGGTTTAAATGTATATAGAATTGATAAAATAAATAGCATTTTATTAAGTTCCACAACGCTGTGTAACCATTACAGGTGTTACATTCGATTCACCATGTCCTGGCTATTTACACATGGTAAGTTTCTGTAGTAGACCTTGCAGGAATGCAGAAATAAAGATTCAGAAATCCGGGTTTGAACCAGGAATATTTAGATCTTCAATCTAACGCATTAAACTATTCCGTCTAAATAAAAATATAGAATTGACACAATAAAGAGTATATTTCAGTAAGTTCCATAACACTGTGTAACCATCAATCAGTAGAGAAGTAAAGTCAGCAACCACTCCATGTTATTGATAGAGAATGAATTATAGAGTGGAGACATCTCTCTATATTGAAGCTTGCCATGAAATATTCAATAACTCAACATCCAATAAGATTGTGCTGCTTTTCTCAAATTTTGTAAATAAACCCTGTACACCGAGAGAAAATATCTCTACAATCTTTACTTTTTTCTTTTCTTATATTCGGGAAAACAAAATATTTTTTTACATAAAGCCGTATATTTTGTTGAAATTGAATGCTTCCGTATATTTATCTAAGAGAAAATAGTAAAAACACCTTTTAAATATTAAAAAAAAATGTTTTAATATCTTGTTGTTAACTTAAAAAAAAATTAATTTTCAATCTTAATAAAGATGAATGATATTGATTGAAACGTTGATAAACAGATTTTTCACTTCTCTGATATCGATTTGCTAATTTATTAATTAATATGAAAATGTACCGTATATAGATAATTTCTTTCTTTAATATAAAAATATGGTTTAAAAAATAGAGCAATTCATAAAAAGATATTTAATTAAAAAGGCATATATTGGATCACAAAATATAATTTATTTACCAATATTTCAGTTGTCTGAACGCCAACCTTTTTCAAGGTACAACATATTTATGTTATCAAAAAACTCAGCGCTATACTGTTGTTTGTTGTTGACACACATTAATATTGCCACGTAGAAAATTAGGGAAGATCAACTTCAGGATGAGACAGCAATTTATTTAAGACAAGAACAAACTACGAAGGATAAACAAAAGATAAGCAATGAAGGAAGTTTACAGAGTAGCAAAATTAAACATAATAAATGATATTGTTAATAAAATAATAAATAATTTTCAACAATATGTTATAATACCTTGAAAAAGGTTGGCGTTCAGCCAACTGAAATATTTGTAAAATAAATTATATTTTGATCCAATATATGCCTTTTTAATTAAAGATTTATTTATTTCAAATATATATATATATACATTTATTGAGACCAGAGATTTGCCTGCTATATTATAAAGGTTGAAAATTTCAAGATATCGTAAGAAATGTAATAGGAGTTGTAGTTTATAAAGGATTTCGAATGTTGATATTGAAAGTTGTACTGATTGGGTATTTGGTCTCTTTGGTTATACTTGTGTAAGAAGTATACGAAGTATATAGATTACTTACTGAAGAAGTTTATCACACTCTGGGATTGAATCATTCAAATATACACTCATGGACAAAAACTTAAGGAAGTTTTATATTTTGATGACGCCGTTCATCTGTTTTTGTGAAAGACAGAGGTTGCTCACACTTGGTTATCTCGTGTGTCTTCAATAAAGGTCACTGTAATATATTTCAGAGTTATTGTCTGAATCCCGATATACATGTTAAAAGGTACAACTCCCTTAAGTTTTGTCCATGAGTGTAGTTCACACTTGGTTATCTCGTGTGTCTTCAATAAAGGTCACTGTAATATCTTTCAGAGTTATTGTCTGAATCCCTATATACATGTTAAAAGGTACAACTCCCTTAAGTTTTGTCCATGAGTGTAGTTCACACTTGGTTATCTCGTGTGTCTTCAATAGAGGTCACTGTAATATCTTTCAGAGTTATTGTCTGAATCCCTATATACATGTTAAAAGGTACAACTCCCTTAAGTTTTGTCCATGAGTGTAGTTCACACTTGGTTATCTCGTGTGTCTTCAATAAAGGTCACTGTAATATATTTCAGAGTTATTGTCTGAATCCCGATATACATGTTAAAAGGTACAACTCCCTTAAGTTTTGTCCATGAGTGTAGTTCACACTTGGTTATCTCGTGTGTCTTCAATAAAGGTCACTGTAATATCTTTCAGAGTTATTGTCTGAATCCCTATATACATGTTAAAAGGTACAACTCCCTTAAGTTTTGTCCATGAGTGTAGTTCACACTTGGTTATCTCGTGTGTCTTCAATAGAGGTCACTGTAATATCTTTCAGAGTTATTGTCTGAATCCCTATATACATGTTAAAAGGTACAACTCCCTTAAGTTTTGTCCATGAGTGTAGTTCACACTTGGTTATCTCGTGTGTCTTCAATAAAGGTCACTGTAATATATTTCAGAGTTATTGTCTGAATCCCTATATACATGTTAAAAGGTACAACTCCCTTAAGTTTTGTCTATGAGTGTAGCTCACACTTGGTTATCTCGTGTGTCTTCAATAGAGGTCACTGTAATATCTTTCAGAGTTATTGTCTGAATCCCTATATACATGTTAAAAGGTACAACTCCCTTAAGTTTTGTCTATGAGTGTAGTTCACACTTGGTTATCTCGTGTGTCTTCAATAAAGGTCACTGTAATATCTTTCAGAGTTATTGTCTGAATCCCTATATACATGTTAAAAGGTACAACTTCCTTAAGTTTTGTCCATGAGTGTAGTTCACACTTGGTTATCTCGTGTGTCTTCAATAAAGGTCACTGTAATATCTTTCAGAGTTATTGTCTGAATCCCTATATACATGTTAAAAGGTACAACTCCCTTAAGTTTTGTCCATGAGTGTAGTTCACACTTGGTTATCTCGTGTGTCTTCAATAGAGGTCACTGTAATATCTTTCAGAGTTATTGTCTGAATCCCTATATATATGTTAAAAGGTACAACTCCCTTAAGTTTTGTCTATGAGTGTAGTTCACACTTGATTATCTCGTGTGTCTTCAATAAAGGTCACTGTAATATCTTTCAGAGTTATTGTCTGAATCCCTATATACATGTTAAAAGGTACAACTCCCTTAAGTTTTGTCTATGAGTGTAGTTCACACTTGGTTATCTCGTGTGTCTTCAATAAAGGTCACTGTGATATCTTTCAGAGTTATTGTCTGAATCCCTATATACATGTTAAAAGGTACAACTCCCTTAAGTTTTGTCTATGAGTGTAGTTCACACTTGATTATCTCGTGTGTCTTCAATAAAGGTCACTGTAATATCTTTCAGAGTTATTGTCTGAATCCCGATATACATGCTAAAAGGTTCAACTTCCTTAAGTTTTGTCTATGAGTGTAGTTCACACTTGGTTATCTCGTGTGTCTTCAATAAAGGTCACTCTAATATCTTTCAGAGTTATTGTCTGAATACCGATATATATGCTAAAAGGTACAACTTCCTTAAGTTTTGTCTATGAGTGTAGTTCACACTAGGTTATCTCGTGTGTCTTCAATAAAGGTCACTGTAATATATTTCAGAGTTATTGTTCCGATATACATGCTGAAAGGTACAACTTGCTTAAGTTTTGTCCATGAGTGTAGTTCACACTTGGTTATCTCGTGTATCTTCAATAAAGGTCACTGTAATATCTTTCAGAGTTATTGTCTGATTTACGATATACATGCTAAAAGGTACAACTTCCTTAAGTTTTGTCCATGAGTGTACATGAAACGCAACAATAATTTTTACAAGAAGATGGTCAAAGAAAGAAAAAGATAAAGTTCTTACCTTGCTGGGGTAGCGGACTAGGCATATCGCAGGTGTCAAGCATGATGGAATTCTGGAACACACAGTCTACAATGTCGCCTTGATGTCACCAACTCCTCTCCCAATGGTAAATTCAAACATCTACAAGTAACAATATATTATTGATCACATTTCAACATAACAAATCTATACAAGAAGGAACACAAGTCAGTGAGAAAAGCATTATTTATATAAAAAGACGATCACGATGAAAATGTATATAGGTAATGAAAAAATTAGAACCCGAATGTTTCTTTTACACAGAAAACAAACTTCTACTGTCCTTACCGCGATTAAAATTTTTCAGGAAGGCTTTACTTAACTGAGGTAAATCCATTCAGCGTTTTCCTCAATATAATCTACCAGATCGCTACTTAGAGCTCTAATACTGTATTGTATGATTCTGTTGTTTCTTATTCCCTTGTGTAAAGATTACTCGGATTCCATGAGTTCTTTCTCCTCAAGCTTTTCGGACGATTCTGCTTATATGTGCTACACTGAAGGGTGGAATCTCAGAAATGGTGAGAAAACTATGGATATAAGCTTTTAGGACAATAGAATTATATATAAATCATTGTCACTCGTGCCATTCTGTACCCATAGAAAGGCATCTTGCC